CTGAGAGTTCGTATCTCTACTCCATTCTTTAAGTTCTAAAATACATAATTATATTTAAATATAATACATTTTTGATTTTTTTTTAAAGCGGTATTACTTGTGATATCAACACACACTAGTAAACAAGTAAAATTTTTTAAAGATACCGAGAAAGTTAAGTAAAATGATGTTACGATACTGAGTACACGGGTAGATTAGTACACAAGCGAAACACTATGTTGATTATCTAAGACATATCCAAGAGATATCTCTGCATTTCGAGATATTTTTGTTCTAGTTTATGAATATTTAAAAATAATTTTCACTATTAGGACTAATCTGAATAACTTTTCTTGTTTAAATAATGCAAAGAGAAAGAGAGAAAGTGAGAGAGAAGGGGAGAGCAGGCAAGAGAGAGACAGAAAGGGAGGTGAAAAAAGAGAGAGAAAGTGCGAGAGATGAGAGAAAAGGGAGAGATTTCAGAATTATTACACGTTTTTCATATTTATAATTGCACGAATTTAAATAAAAATAATTAAAATAATATACAATAATTGTCGAATGTTTGATAACCTTCTGTCACGCCATTAAAACACTCAACAATAGGGGGGAAAAAAAAAACAAAAACTAAGTGATATGTATGCAAACAGGTAGAAAGTCGTTCTTATATAAGATGTTACAAATGAATTATAGAATCTTATATAATACAAATTAACTCCAGAGGCTATTAATAGATGTCATCAGTTGTTACTACGAAATACGACAAAGCCCCGAGCCATAATTTTCATCTTTCTTTGAATGGATTAATTCATTATTTACGATCACTTTATCTATTTTTCCTTATATAAATAAGGAAGAAAACAAGGAAAGTATAGAACATAGATAAGTTATCATCTAAGAAAACGTGATATTTAAAACTATGAAAGACTAAATCAAATATACGTGTTCTGATTTTGTAATTTTTCATGAATAATGCGCTAATAAATACTGGATCTATGCAGGATCCTAGCATAGAATCGTTCATATCTCCAGTATTTAGCGTTAGGGACCTTGAAACATCGAGAAATGCAAAAAAAAAAGTTGGGGGTTTCTGTATGTTACTGTGTGGGGGAGGGCACGATTTCGTTCACCCTGTTTGAAGCTTAATAATTCCTGTGCTTCTTTTTGTCGAAAATTTCTGAAATTTTGCAGGTAGGTTTGTGTATTAGGGGCATTAATGCTATTAAATTTTGGTGGTTAAAGGTCGACGGAGTAGGGAGATATAGAGGGTTCGTGTCATATCTAGAGTAGGGTCAAACGTAATGAAGATTTTACAATACATGAAGAATCAACGTATATGCTATGGACAAGTGATTAATAGGGCATTGTTTATAATGCTATATATCAAGAATGAGAGGGGGAGAAAATCCAAAATTAACGAAATCTGGAATTACAAATTCATCTTACAACGTAAAAATTTTACGGAGAGACTTGCATAACGACAATGTTACGGCCACACCAGGACTCGAGCTCGATAAAGGCACTCTACAAGGCCTCTTAGTGCTCTCGGAGCTGAAAGAGGCCTATGACTTAAACCGAAACTTCTTCTATAAAAAAAGGCCCTCGACAGAGATAAAAAGAAAGCCATTCCCTAATAGTGAATTATGTTCCTTTGAGGCCCTAGACGCAATTTTATTATAAGGACCTTTATGTAAAAGCGTTTTTTTTTAATATTAAAAGACAATAAAGAAGCGAGAGTTCGAGTTCAAATTTAACCAATAAGCTCCTACGTACCTATAAGAGGCCCATGTAAATTTGAATTAGGAGGCCCCACGTACAATATTGACTTCAGGCATTTTTCTTTGGAGGAGGTGACATTATTTTCTTATAAAAGATTGGTTTGGTATTACCTGTTGGTTGAGGCCCCAAGCAATTGCCCTTTTTTTGCCCACTTGTTGTACTGAATGTTAACTTGTTTAGTAAATATATCTTTGGAATTTTAACGGGAAAAACTGTAATTAATTAAATTAGAAATTTAAAAATTTTNATATTATACTCAATAATAACCCAAACTTTAATTATAGACAGAGTATAAATAAACTTATTTATGGCTTTAATATAGTTATATAAATCCTTTGGGAAACAATAGATTTCATCGTATAAAATTTAAAGGAATCGTTATATAAAATTTTTCATCGGCGTCAAATATGCTACACGTCCACTTATCACGTACAGACAAACACACGAACGTCACAGTTTGTCTCTAATTGTATTCCAGACGGTTTAAAAAAAAACACGTGTGTTTTCATTCAATAACAATATTTTTTTCTCATTAAATATGCAAAAACAGTTTTAATTACTGATTACAACGAAATAAAGAATAGTTAAAGAATAAAACTATAAGATTTTAATAGTAATAATTATTAATACAATAGTAAAAAAAAAACACAGCAATTTATTCGTCTAGCCGGTCCGTTACGCAACTTTTGATTGGCATTTTCATCGAGCGTTTTAGCAGAAACGTTTCACTGTTAGATTTTATTCCCTATTATTTTATTCGTGTTATAAAGTTTCTCGTGCAAAACATTTTTCTTAATTGTTTCAGTGTTTAAAATCTATAAATTTCTCACAATTTGTAGATTTTTAATTGTTTAAAACAATTAATACTAACAATTAGTCAATTGTTTGCCAAAGTATTACTTTAATTTCCCGATGCTCTTGTTCATGAAATTAGGTTTTATCCATCAAAAATAACACTTTTTAAAAATAGATTTGTTTATTATATTAATATATGATGTGTTTTTTTAATTATGTAAATAATTAACAGTGATATATAAATAAATAAATAACATGTTATTAAAAGGTTTTTAAAAATATTATTAAAAATTAACAATTTATACAAAACAAATATTATATATTTATAAATTGATAATATATATACGCCTGCAGAATATATATAACCTATATATACTATATCATGTATATACTGTGTACTATAGGCCTATATACAGTGTATAGTCTCTCTATATATATAGAGACTACACTGTATATAGGCCTATAGTACACAGTATATTATATATACAGTCGAACACTGCGAACACCTGTGAACACCTGTGAACAGCGGTCACATTTTCAAAATATTTTTTAACAAAAATGCATACAAAATAACCTCCNCCCCCTATAACACTGTTGATAATACCGTTTTATATGAATTCCATGTTGTACGAGTCACTTAGATTTTACAAATACGCGTGCCGAGCTGTGAACGGTTCACGTATTTGTAAAATCTAAATGACTCGTACAACATGGAATTCATATAAAACGGAATTATCAACAGTGTTATAGGGGGTCGACTGTAAATGAAAATATTAAAGTATTTGCTGACGTCATTCATTTCGAAAAATAAAATTTTGTTTTATGCTTTATTATTGTTTATATTTTGAAAATTACGTATACAGTTTACGGGGGAACAACAACAAGATCTTTTAAGCGTTTAGGACCTTTAAAAGTCTTAATCCGGCCATGATTTTATATGTACATTTTAAAGGAAAATATTAAATGCCATCAGTCCAAATATCAAGATTAAATTATTGGCTATAAGAAGAACAATAATAATTTTTTTTTTTATTTTAAAAATTTATGCTTATGTCGTCAGTACAAAATTAATTCACTAATATAGAAATTGCAATGGTTGGAGGCGTTTCGATTCAAAATTTGGATAATATAATATTGAATTAAGTGATGAAATATAGCGTGGGGGTTATACAAATTTAAAAACTTAAAATGGAATGTTATGAAAGAAAATTCACTTTGTTAAATGATTCAATTGAATCATCTAATAAAGGAAATGAGAGAATGAGTCGCCTACAAACGTTATAATTATAATTTTTCATTTATTTGGTTGTGATCGATTTTATTAATTTATTTTTTTTCATTTATTTTACAAAATAATAAAAAAAAAACTGGAAACTTTTTTGCTGGACTTTTCCGGCATTCTTTATTTGTTTTCATCCCTAATAATGGTTAGATTGATTCGGGAGATATTAAGGAGATGGGCCATATCCCCCGAACCAATAGTCCGATTTTCCTGAAAATTTCTAGAATCATTTCTCCCTAATATACAAACCTCTCTGAAAAATTTCATGAATTTTCGACCAAAGGTACAGGAGTTATTAAGCTTTAATTTGGGTAAACAAAATCGTGCCCCCACACACTAACATCCAAATATACAGAAAAATTCATCCCAACTTTTTACATTTCTCTGTGATTCAAGGTCCGCCGAATCAAAAACATTAAGAATCTTGGACGGCCATATTTTTTTTTATCGCTCCTTTTCCTTTTGATCGCTTTTGATCGATTGATCGATCCCTTTTGATCGATTACTTTCTGTTACATTACAGCCGGGAAAGTAAAACTGTGAAGAGAATTAAGATTTAAGTTAGCATTTTCTTTAATATTTTTATTCGAGTTCAATGACACTCTTCATATTTCTGCATCGACTGAATTATAAGACAATAGGGATTGTTAGCAATAGAGGAAATTCTGTCGAAATTAAAGATTAAAGAATATTTATATTCATTAAACGGTGAAATATACGACGGTAATGCGTCATTTTATGATGAATTATTGCAAAAGAAAATTTATTTTTTGTTTTTTTATCTAGAAAACGCTATAGAATTACGGTGACACTACACAATAAAAATGTTGCAAGATCGGTCATTGTAAACGGCGAACGTGCTCGAACGTAAAATGTCAACATTCTCAATAGCCGATTTTTGATTGCGGCATACGTTCTAATATGCAAGAACATGAGAAATATCGTTTCACTGATGAAATGCAATATAAACGCATTTTACTTTAACTTTAATTAAAGATCCTATGACGTCAGAATTCGAAGGCTTATGTTTCAAACAGAAAACTCAACGAGACTTTTGTGTGCTTATTTGAATTATAAGGAGAATANTTTGTTATGCAACAAAATTATTAAAATAAAACATGATAAATAATACTATTTAAACTATTTATCATTTTGTGTACTTTGTAAATTTTTTGGAAAAATTTTGGACCCAGAAAATATTCTGCACCTCTTTTCATGAGTTGTATTGCACCACATTACTTCTTGCTGACTGCAGATGGCTACACTACACTTAGTCAAGCATATTGTCAGCAAAAAATCAACAAGGCAGCCAAGGAAGCAAATTCCCTGACTTTTTGACAATTTTTATCAAATTTCCTGACATTCCATGACTTTTTCTGAACACTAATGAAAATCCCTGATTTTTCCTGACTTTCCAGGTGTGTAGAAACCCTGTATTTATCTTTTCATGTCTTTAAAAATAATATTAAATATTTTTATAAATTTAAAATAAAACATACATAATAAATAAGATTAATTTGAAACTTAATAAAAATCTGTAGTAATATAAATAAATTTTACTTACATTTTCACATTTTCCCATACTACATTTTGCACTGCTTGATTTTCTCTTTGTCAAAATATCAATTTCTGATTTATTTTGATTATTATCTATTTAAATTAAATACAATTATGTATTATATTATTAAATTATATTATATTTAATAATATGTAATCAATACCTGATTTGTTTTCCTTCTTTGGTATGACTGGGAAGTTTCCTGTATCACTATTTCTCCTCTGGTTTAAAGGTGAAAGATTTAAAGGTGGAGGCCAACGATCTTGCCATTTGGTAGTTGGTATTTTCACTGGAACGAATGTAATTTGCTTAGATAGATCATCACTGCCATTTTCTACTAATACTGGTGAGTGAATAGATGGCAGTTTTGGATTACTAGAGGCTGGTCGTTTTTTTCCTTCTTTGTGTGTCAACATGATAACAAAAAACAATTGTTATGTTTCTTAAACAAAATTTCGGAAAAAAGAAAAGAAAGAAAATTATATTAAATAAAAGTTGTTGGAGGTCATACCAGTCTTGTCCAGCTGTGCTTTAGTATCAGAGAAGAAATCTGAAACCGTTTCTGAATGTCTGAAAGTTGTTTATGAAACTGTGTTGCTATTAAGAAGTAGTTGCAGAGTTACGTTAGACTCGGTATGGATTAGTTCGATTTAACTACTGTTTAATTATGTTATTACTTTAGTTGCTCGTATACTGGCATACGTAAAACGTAACTTATACACAGTATAATATATACAGTACATACACATGCTCGCCTGCTTTGATGGATTATATTATGTATCAATTGAAAGAGTATGGCTGCAACAGATATTGTCAAAATTGGTTGCTACGAACTGGAAAAAATAATTGGAAAAGGAAATTTTGCTGTTGTTAGACTGGCTACACACTTAATAACTAAGTCCAAGGTAAGTTATTATTGTTATTGTTGTTGTTGTTTTACATTGGGGTGGGTATCATTGGGGTTGTTTTTACATAGGAGCGTGTGTAACATTGGGGTTTTTTACATTGGGTTGTGTAAAATTGGGATTTTTACATTATTATTATTACATTATTATTATTATTGTGTTTTTACATTGGGGTGTGTAAGTTATCGCTTGTATATTCTGTGTATTTTCACTGTATTTTTCGTAAATAACAGCAGTAAATGTTCATGGAACCGCGTTTAGTATTGTTATAAGTGTTTCAGACACTATGGCAATTGTGAATTAATTGTTTTAAAAAAGTTTTTCGGAGTTTAAAATTCAAAGCTAATCGGATTCGATTTTTTTTTTTTGGATAATTTTCTACAAATTAAAAAGAAAAAATTCCGTAATAAAAGTATTAAAGAGCATCTGATAATTAACGTGTTGTGTATATTTTATTTCGTAAATTATTGCGAAAAATTTTAACATGCAACAAACTGTTTAGCAACTTGAACCTTGATCCAGATGTTATATTTCTAAGGGATAATAAGATTAAAAAAAATAATAATGTGATAATAAGAAATTTAGTAATTTTATTTTATTTCATTTTTTTTTATTTTATAAAATGGGGATAGAAGATAAGCTGTGTTCAATCTGTTTACTCATTTATTATCTCTCTATCGAGAGGTATACTTACAAAGTTCGAGAATTAATGTATCTGTATATCTAGAGACTTGTAATGATAAAATATAGATAATCATTTACTATAATGCTGAAGTAATTTACTCGTTTAATGAAATAGCCTTTTAATAATATACATACTCAGCTTTATTAAAATATTCTACATACTACTGCTATTAAATTGATTGCATTTACAGAGAATGAAATAAAAAAAAAAATGGCACCTGCTATTCTATCTGTTTATCTTCATTATGTTTTTTATGGTAATTTTTTTTTCGTTAAGGGAATTAAGAACTCGATAATTATGACATTATTATTTAATTTTATTACACGTTACAGGAGAAATTTAATAAATGCAGCACTTCTTTCGCGTAGAAGAATATGTAGATAGTGGAAAAAAAAAATTAACAAAATTTATTTTACTGACGTTTAATTAATAGATACAACGACTAAAATATCGTCATTTTTAATTCATAAATTCATCATTTTAATATTATCTTATGCCATCACTATTATGAAATACTATTTGCTTGTTTTTCTCTTATTTAAAATCTTCTTATTTACTCTGAAATTATTTTTTAAAAAATCTGNGTTTAAAATTTTTTTATAATTATAAAAAAAACTTTTTATTATTAGTTTATACGCGTTTTTCCTGTTTATTTTTAGTTTCTGTTTTTAATTTAGAAATGCGGTAGGGTCTATTCGTCTGTTGCACGTTCTTTTCGTCTGATATCGAAGAAAAGTTTCGAATTTTTTTTTTTCTGTATTTACGTGCCTTATTAATTCTTCTTTTATGATTTACGCGCAAAAAATAATATAGATATAACTTTACGAATTTAAATAGAAAAAATGAAATTTGAATTATGTTATTATTACGTGTTACGGCGTTTATTTAAACTGAAGTTTGTGATTGGTTAATTTATCTTGATTACGTAATAATAATTTAATTTAAAATGGTTAAGATGTAAATTTCAAGTTGTGTGTTTGCTGAAGATTTGTATGAAGCGATGAATTAAATTTTTATCATTTTAAATTATTTATTTGATTCAAATATATGAATTTTTTTTAATGTTTAGTCTTTTTATTCAATTTATTTAAAAATTTTTGAAACTGCTTTTTCATAAGAATAGCAAATACAATGCATTTAACATTAATTCTATATTTTGTATACAGATCATACAGCCTATATGTAAATTATTATAAATCTAGTGCATTTCTACAATTTGATTGTGAATATTCTACATTGTAAATCTCTTTTAGACTCAAATTTTTATAAATTTTACTTCTGAAAAGCTTAGGGAGTTATTAAAAATATTCATTCCTTTAAGTCCTTTCATCTTGAAGGTATATTGTAATATAATGCAGATGAGAAATGGTCAGTTTTTCTTGTTTAATGAATCAACATATATTCCTCTTTTATAATCTCAAATAAACTTATACTTTGTTTTGAATTTAATTATGTAAGATATAATCTAATACAGCATTATTAATCTGTGAAAAAGTAGTTTATCCTTGATTATTTATTTTTCGTTATTTTTATATTATACAGACATAGCAGGAAATAGCAAACATGTTTAAAGTGTTGGTTAAACGGAGCAAATGTATCCACAAGAAAAAAAAAATGTCTAGGATTTTCCATATCTATTTGTGGATGTGGAGTTTTAAAACTTATATGTAATTTCTACTTAATGAAAAAAGTACAAAATGAAAATTACCTGATATTTTCACCTGCTCAATGAATTATGAAAATGTGGTTTGCTTTTTAATTACAGTGGTGTGTATATATATATGTAGCTTTTGATGATTTTATGTAGAAATATATAAATTCAACTTTTTCTATTTTTCAAAATAATTAAAATATGCTTTTTTAAAATATTGTCTAAAAAAATTATTATGTAATGAATAGATTTTGGATCAATAGATTTAGTTAATTTCATTAATAAAACTGATCATACAAGCAAATATTTGCTGAATTGTTAATAATTTAATATCTAAAAAATATACTGTATTTAAATCAAATGCCATACACATACTTATATATAAGTCTACATATATAAAAAAAAATGCAAGTCATTATTTTTTTATCAAAGAAACAAATTCTGAATATTTTCCTTAAAATAAGGTAAAATAAATGAATGTATTTCGAAATCTTCAGATTTTTTCCCAAAAATTTTGAATTATTGATTTAATATAGCATGTATCATGTTGCATTTAATTACAACCGAGGTTAAATATTTATATTAACATAAATGCCAAATGAATAATTTCAAAACTGTATTAGCAGAAAAATATGTGGGAGTCTTGCAATAAATTGAATTTTATTAACATAAATGAGTAATTAATGAAATCTTTGGTAGACTGTTTTTCATTAATGTAAATTGAATTTTGGAATAATCAACAGTGTTATGGGGGGTCGACTTGTATAATAGTTAAGAACAGTTAGATAATAGAAGTTGCATATAATCACGAAAAGATTCGGCAATATTAATTGGCCAACGTGATAGATAGTTATACAGTGTGTTAGATTTAACAGTTTGAATATATTTTAGATTATTAATAATAAAATTAAGGAAACGTTGTACAGTTCTTGTGAAGTATAAGTCAAGCCGGATGTCATTGCTTACATTCAATACGATAATTTTTTCACATCGTCTAAAACTAAAATACCATATTGTTTAAAGAGGAATTGCATTTGTTCAACTAATGAATAGATCTTTCAGATATTTCTCAGAACACAGGCATAGTCCGTTGTACGTAGAAAGCCTTATAATAATGGGTTAATTGAACAAACCAAATTTGATACTTCAAACAACGAAAGAAAAAAATAAATATGTTATGTATATAGAAAAAGAATTAATGTCGGAAAAGCCTAGTGGGTGGAAACGGCATAATAACATTCTTAATGAGACGCGATATTGTTGTCATTTTTATTAGTAAAAAAAGTCCATTTTTAAATATTTCCATTTTTTTTTAAACCGTTCACGTGGTCGTCACGTTTTTACAGTGTAACGTTGCCAACCACGAAACGTTTTCAATAGAAATATTTAAATTAATATTCGGCAATTTTAATTATTATTATTATTATTAATTTACTGTGTTTCATTTTTAATTTCCTAACACACTGGGTTGAATATAAAATTGACTTACTTAAACCAAATAACCGGAGCATTTATGTTCTATTATTGTGAACGTTTTTGATGCCCCTTCTAGGCNTATTTAAGTTTAAAATTTTTTTATAATTATAAAAAAAACTTTTTATTATTAGTTTATACGCGTTTTTCCTGTTTATTTTTAGTTTCTGTTTTTAATTTAGAAATGCGGTAGGGTCTATTCGTCTGTTGCACGTTCTTTTCGTCTGATATCGAAGAAAAGTTTCGAATTTTTTTTTTTCTGTATTTACGTGCCTTATTAATTCTTCTTTTATGATTTACGCGCAAAAAATAATATAGATATAACTTTACGAATTTAAATAGAAAAAATGAAATTTGAATTATGTTATTATTACGTGTTACGGCGTTTATTTAAACTGAAGTTTGTGATTGGTTAATTTATCTTGATTACGTAATAATAATTTAATTTAAAATGGTTAAGATGTAAATTTCAAGTTGTGTGTTTGCTGAAGATTTGTATGAAGCGATGAATTAAATTTTTATCATTTTAAATTATTTATTTGATTCAAATATATGAATTTTTTTTAATGTTTAGTCTTTTTATTCAATTTATTTAAAAATTTTTGAAACTGCTTTTTCATAAGAATAGCAAATACAATGCATTTAACATTAATTCTATATTTTGTATACAGATCATACAGCCTATATGTAAATTATTATAAATCTAGTGCATTTCTACAATTTGATTGTGAATATTCTACATTGTAAATCTCTTTTAGACTCAAATTTTTATAAATTTTACTTCTGAAAAGCTTAGGGAGTTATTAAAAATATTCATTCCTTTAAGTCCTTTCATCTTGAAGGTATATTGTAATATAATGCAGATGAGAAATGGTCAGTTTTTCTTGTTTAATGAATCAACATATATTCCTCTTTTATAATCTCAAATAAACTTATACTTTGTTTTGAATTTAATTATGTAAGATATAATCTAATACAGCATTATTAATCTGTGAAAAAGTAGTTTATCCTTGATTATTTATTTTTCGTTATTTTTATATTATACAGACATAGCAGGAAATAGCAAACATGTTTAAAGTGTTGGTTAAACGGAGCAAATGTATCCACAAGAAAAAAAAAATGTCTAGGATTTTCCATATCTATTTGTGGATGTGGAGTTTTAAAACTTATATGTAATTTCTACTTAATGAAAAAAGTACAAAATGAAAATTACCTGATATTTTCACCTGCTCAATGAATTATGAAAATGTGGTTTGCTTTTTAATTACAGTGGTGTGTATATATATATGTAGCTTTTGATGATTTTATGTAGAAATATATAAATTCAACTTTTTCTATTTTTCAAAATAATTAAAATATGCTTTTTTAAAATATTGTCTAAAAAAATTATTATGTAATGAATAGATTTTGGATCAATAGATTTAGTTAATTTCATTAATAAAACTGATCATACAAGCAAATATTTGCTGAATTGTTAATAATTTAATATCTAAAAAATATACTGTATTTAAATCAAATGCCATACACATACTTATATATAAGTCTACATATATAAAAAAAAATGCAAGTCATTATTTTTTTATCAAAGAAACAAATTCTGAATATTTTCCTTAAAATAAGGTAAAATAAATGAATGTATTTCGAAATCTTCAGATTTTTTCCCAAAAATTTTGAATTATTGATTTAATATAGCATGTATCATGTTGCATTTAATTACAACCGAGGTTAAATATTTATATTAACATAAATGCCAAATGAATAATTTCAAAACCGTATTAGCAGAAAAATATGTGGGAGTCTTGCAATAAATTGAATTTTATTAACATAAATGAGTAATTAATAAAATCTTTGGTAGACTGTTTTTCATTAATGTAAATTGAATTTCATAAATAAATATTTTTAATAAGTTGATTTAATTGGATTTTAAATATATAAATTCTAAATTTTTACTTGAAATTAATGTATTTAAAAATTAAATTTATTAATATTCAAAAATTTTCTAGAAGTTTTAAATATATTTGATATTTTTATCGAGAAATTTTTTAAATTATTTTTTATAATTATTAAGTTATTAAGGTATAAAGTTTATGCAGATACAAATTATGAATTAGTTGAGACATGTTATTTATGAATTTAGAGTGAATTATGAATGCTTATTTTTCAAATTTGCTTCAGGGTGAAATACTTTTCTTCATGCTGTATTTACACTTTAGGTCAAGGTGATTTTTATGTTGAAGGATGCAGATATACAAGGTCATAATATCATGACATAATACCCTTAAACATTTATTTAAGTCAACATATTGCTTTAAAATATATAGTAATAATAAAACTATAAATTTCTGAATGGTTGTAGAACTTGTTTGTCCATCTTTGTATTTTATATAACATTAAAATAAATCATTTGGAGCAAAATGCAAAATGTTTCATAAAGAGCGGAGAAATTTCATAATAATAACTTTTTTATATATAACATAATAAAATACAGTATTACTAAATATTATGTATATTTTTAATATAGAATAAAATTTATGATTGAATTGTCTGATTTTTTTATTTTTTATTTTATTAGTATTTTATATTTTAATACAAGTTGCAATATTTCAGGTTGCCATAAAAATAGTTGATAAAAGACAATTGGATACAGAAAATTTAAAAAGAATGAATAGAGAGGTTCAGATTATGAAATTGCTCAATCATCCACATATTATTCAATTATATCAGGTTTGTACATATACTTTGTAGATTGATTATTTATTCAGCACTGTCTGTATAATCATGTTCATGAACAATATGATTTACAGTAGTAATTCAAAAAAAAATGAAACAAATAATCATAAAAAAATTATATAATTTATCCTAAGAAATTTTTAATTTGTTGAATGCAAAAATAAACTTATTTATGTCTAGACAAAATCATTTTCTCATCAATAAAATAAAATTCAAACCTTCTGTGAAGGTATAAAGGATTTTATGATAGCAATGTATCTTACAAAACATTATTATTTTTTAATTATTCGTAAATATTAAATACAGGTTACTACTAAATTAAATTTGATTTGTAAACAAATTTGTTTTTTTTTTTTTTTTGTAGTTTTTACTGCTTGAAATATTATTATTTCTTATTTAGATATTTTTTACAGTTAATGTAAGATGTAACAAGAAAAAAAAATTGTGTAAAGTGTAATAACTAGAATATTTTTACAATTGTTTTAGCACATATTTAAAAATAAACTTTATAATTTAATTTTTTTAATATTTTTTTTAAGTTTGTTATTCATGTATATTATACATGAATATTATTTTCCAAATAACATTATACATTATAATATTATAAGATAACAAAATTTTATATATTAATAAATAATAATCTCAAAAACATATGCAAGTACTTTCACTGATATATAATCATCTTTGTCGGACAAAACTTGTGTTCTCTTTATTTTTATTCAATATTCAAATCTACAGAAATTTTTGCTCAACAAAGATGATAATATATTGTCAAAAGTACTTGCATATATATTTTTATGTTTATAAAAAGCTTTTAACACTGAAAGACAGTTGTTTATTGTGTTATTTAAATAAATTATAAAATATAAATATTATTATTTATCATAAAAAGTTAAATAAATTAATTAATAAACAGTTTAATATGTCATTTGTTGATTTTAGCTATCAGTGTTCTAGACGTCCTGTAGTGCAATACCTACAGCAGCAAAATGCATTTATAGTAATAGCTAGCTGATGATAGACAATATGCACTTATTTGATGTATATTGTATATAAGAACAACAAGTTAGTTAATTATTGTTGCCTTTTCTGTATTAGTCCATATCAGAGTAAGAAGTACTGTATATTCAAATAAAGATTGACTTATTTGATAGTGACTGAATATATGCCTTAAAATATATGATTCAACATAGTTACCATTGCCACACATTTTATAAAGGACAATGCCAACATGCATGTTCTTGGTGTATTTGAATTCATGGTGTATCCTAATCCACAATTTTACTGAAGATTTGGATATACCAGAAATTTTTCTTATTTATTTTAGTTTAAAATAATAATGAAAACATGCATACAGATGCTCTAGATATCAAATTGTAGAAGCTTAGAACAGTAACAGGCTTATTTTTATGCTAACATATATTATATTGAAGTATATTGCTTCTAGAAATAAATGAATTTTGTAGAAAATATTGTTTGTATGTACGTGAATGTGGAGCTTTTTAATTATTATAATCAATCATTTTTCTCTGTAACTTGTGAGTGTTTATGGTTACTCACAGTTTATCATATAATACAGTACATATACTAAATATATAAATATATTAGATAATATGATATGAAACCAGGGGTGCCTGTATATTGGGGCATGTGCTGCTCCCCTTCGTCATCAGGTTGCCCTTATCTTAATCCCCAAGGGTGCTCTAAGCTTTCATTTTACTTTAAATTAGTTACTCATTTTTATCACAGAAAACTATTTTACTGATGACAAATTAAACATATTTTTTAATAACCAAAAATTTGTTTTAGCAGGTCATAATTGTTCAGTTCAGTTCAGTTCATAATCAGTGTGTATTCATAAAATACAAATCTTTAGATTCCTAATACAATCAGTTGATTCATCTGGTTGTGACAATGACATATTAATCTAATCCCATGAATTTTCTTTCTTATGCAAAAATCCTACCATCAGTACACAGTCAAACAAAAGGGAAAAGGAGACACAATAACAGAAGAATTTCCTCTAAATTTCATGCCACATAATCACTGTTTTGTTCTAGTTGCCTCATAAATAGGGGTGGAGTCCATTCACTCTCATAGTTCTTCTCTTGCATAGATATCATCATTGTTGACCATCTTCACATTCCTCCAATGATGGCATAGAAAAGAAAGCTTTTCACTCTCAAACCACATGTCAATATACACAACCTCATTGCTCCCCGCCCAGTTTATTGCCCTTCCAGGCAACAATGGGTGATAGAATATTCTAGAACTGTATAAACAAAGGATTTATAACTAACAATTTCATTTATGTACATAATATGACAAGTGATTGTCACAGATTATCTTTTATTTAATAGTAATAGATTTCTGTAATGATCAAGCAATCCTAATTTGATATTGTCTATTATATGTATCTGTTCTTGATTATTACAGTATATAAATTTCTCTTGACTAAAATTGAACTTTGTTTCTCTTACTTGGGCCACCAAACTTTTTTCACAGTGGGCCAGATAACAGACAATGATGAGTGTGGGCCGCATAACCATTTTGTTCAATATAGTATACTGAATACACAAAAAATAAAGAAAACCAACATATTTATTTACTAATATACAAACACGATCACTGCGCAAGCACATAATAGCTTTTCTTAGAAACTTCATTGTAGGTACTTACGTAAAAAGCACTCTGATATGCAAAGTTGCAAAAACTCGTTGAATTTTTTTATTTCACTGATTTTCCTAAAAATTATATTACAGTCGACCCCCCTATAATTACGGTCCCTATAATTACGATTCCTATAAAACTACGAAAAAATATACGTATTTTGGAAATGTTGAGTCGGATTAGTGTAGAATCGATTAATTTTATGGAAGAAAACCTTTCAATCAGCCGTAGTCCGTAAACTTGACACGTGTCGGGCTGTGATTGGAACGACTTGTAAGAAATCGGATTCCTAATAAATTGGAACGTATCTATATCTTATAGGGGGGTCGACTGTACTGCCAAATGCAAAAATCAGATTGGACCAATTTTGGCATTTTTACCTACACTTATTTTAATTTTTTCTACAAAGTAAGTTCATCTACAATCTATAATATTTCCATATAACTAATTATATTTTAGCTTATTTGTGGCACAGTGCAGTGGCAGGCTGGATGAACTGACCTCATAGGCCAGATCGGGGCTGTAGTTTGGTGACCCCTGCTCTTACTAATACAAACTGTTTTTGCATGTGGTTTTTCTTTTATAAAAAAGTTATTAAGGATTATTTTATACAGTTAAAAGATAATTTGGAGAATAATGAACAAGAGTAAAAAATAGCTCCGTAATTCTTCATAAAATAGCTTAAAGTCCATATATTATGTAACTGTAATTAAAGTACCCTTATTCAATGCTGTCTAGAGAGATATTTAGCAGTCCATATGCCAATAAGTCTAGTATAGTGACATTTCAAGAAGTGGAAGATATTTCTGTAAAAATATTAGAACCAAAACTCACCATTATGGTCCTTTTGGTTCAAAATGATAAAAATTTACACTTAAACACCAAAAATATATAATGAAATAAGATAAATACTGTTTATTTTCATTATGTACTTTAATAATAGTATGAACAAAAGTTTTGCTAGTACAATGTACTAATGTCGACTTCAGATGAAGAAGATGCACATTTATTTACCTGAAGATGACATAATACAATGTTGAAAGTACTAGCATAACTGTTGTTTATATTATTATTAAACACATAATGCCAAAAGACAGTATTTATCATATTTGTTATGATACTTTTGGTGCTGCAAGCAACAGAAAAGCAGTTTCCTTTGCATAAGCTTGTATGTTTCAGCAAAGTTCTGGGTATAAAAGTGGTCAGAATGTTGAATGTCATTCTTATTGGCTACAATGACCATCAGCTTGTCAACATGCACATTTCTTTTGAAGCTGTTTTTCAAAAACAACAACAACATTGCAGTTGCACTTTGAGAATTTTACTGTCATAACAATTTACACCAAGGACCATTGATTCCATAAGCTCTCAGGCAAATGATCACTCAATTCAAGGAAACTAGACATCTGGAAGTTTAACCTTTAGCCCAGTCAAGGGCATAAACCTATCACTTCACATGTTGTTAATGTTATACCACAGCTATTGTTAACAGCCAATGAATAATGTTGCAAGCTCCAGTGGTGTATGTTCAGTGTCATAGCAGTTGGATGTACCTGAAGGCAATGTGTGGAAGGTGCCATGAAAGTTGATGCATTGTTATATGTATAAGATTAGCCATTATACATATAAGTTTGCCTGCTGCTAACAAGAAAACTGGACTAACCTTTGTATTGACCTTCTTTGCCAGAATGGAAGTGGATGTGTCATGTCCATAAAAGATCCTGTGGAGTGAGTGATGAGGTACATTTTCACCTCAGTGGAACAGTGAACACCTGCAATACTGCAGTATAACTGTTGCACTTCTTTGGATAATGCACAGGTATTTTCATGGTGTGGTTATATAACTATTGTATTTTGGTAGCTGCCCTGCAGTTCTTAAATTTACAGTCTAGTGTTGATTCACAGCCACATTTGTCCTTTAACAATTATTCTTTGAAGAAGCTAGTCCCAATGAGCATGATGTGTTCTCCCAGAGATACTAAAAGTTGCTCAAGCATTTTTGTCATACTCCAATTGTAACAGTGAAAATGCCTTGAGTCAACCACTTTAATGCAAGATGGAGCATCTCCACATACTGGATGCTGCATACAATGTTTTCTGCAACAATATTTCACTGATAACAGAGTGACTAATCGTGTGTTTCCTATTGCTTAGTCACTTCATTCTCCAGATCTTAATCTTTATGTTTGTGAAGACACTTAAAAAGTGTGGTTTATCAGACATGCTGCACATTTGGCAATCGTGAAATTTAGTATCACACTGCCTGTGAGAAGCATCATGGAGGATCAATTATGAACTGTCTTTGAGCACATTGTTCATTATCT